TCTCTAGGCGACATACAGTTATAATCCAATATCTCACAGGGTGGATATCACGGGTCGACAATATCTATTGTTCTTAACCTAATAAGTAAAATTCAAGTGGAACAGGTGAAGGGGGTGGGGGATGTTCGCGAAACGAAGGAGGTGGGGGTCCCAGATTTTTCCAAATTTCTCGAATGTTCCTGCTAATAAGTCTGGATGGTGTCTCGTAATTTTACAAGCACCAGGAAGGGGGATGCCCCGAATGACGTCACTACCGACGGGGACCTTCCACGTAATCTTGGCTGATTTAATTGGACGTTGATGAAGTGTCGAAGATAGGAAGTGGCTCCTCTGGCGGAAAGTGCTGAGACTGCTCGGGACTTTCTTCGGTCGTCTCTAACCATCAATCTACCCCCCCTTTTACCACGTCACACGTCGCACTTTACACGTTCGTCTTATTCAGGGATTCTACATCCCCGGCAATATTCGCTCTATATATATTTTCTATGTTAGGAGACGAGAGTGAATATATATATATATATTGAGAAAATTTAAAAAAAAAATTATTTTTCAACTTTTCGATAAGAGCTAATTTTTTTTTTTAACGACGATATTAATATACGTTATATTTAGATCCTCGTCAAAAAGTGCCGAGTGTCTCGGAATTATTTTTTGTCACTATATCAACCATTAATCATATCCTATTTCGAACGTGTCATGTGCCACGCCACTGTACTTCGGTATATAATATCCGGAGTGTATAGTGCGTTATAAGATTTCGGTATTAAAAAAAAAATATTTTTCAAAAATCTGTAACGTTAATGAAATTTTCAAATAGATAAACTTTTTTTTCTCATTCCGTGTAATATATATATATATTTTTTTTTTCATCGTCAATATCGAATGCAATTAAATAGTCGAGCCCGCGAATTACGTTTCCGCGTGGCCTCAGCGGGAATTGCACGTCGATCGAGTCTGTCCTGCTGAACCGCAGCCCAGTAATATCGATATCAGGAATCCTTCGAGGTTAATATCGAAGTAAATCGCGAGAGCCATTGAAATGGATGAGAGAGGCTGTTCCGAGTGTATTTTGAATGGGGAAAATGTCGGAAATTAAAACTGGAGGAGCCGAGGGAGCGAGACGAGAGACACAGCGAGAGAGAGAGAGAGGCGAGAAGCGAATCAATTGAGTAAATTGATTGCAGAAATTAAACCGGAGGGATCGTTCGATTGGAATTGAGAAGACAAACCGGAGGTGGTTTATGATCGAATGATTTAATTATTAACGGAGTAATATATTACGGCAATGGATCATTAGTATGAATACATATGTATATAGATATACCATACGTGTATATCTATCTCTATATCTGTATCTATACTATGTATAGATACAGTGGCGCAATCTATAACTACTTAGTTCAATTAAATACTGTGCCTATAACAATGGG